ACTCAACGTTTCATTCATTCATTTTCACACAAAAGTGAAACACATTTCTCTTCAACTTTGCTCTCAATTCGTCGCTTATCTCGAGTTTGAGTTATCGCTAAAAAAGTACTGAATTTATGAAAGATATGAGAAATACAGAAGAATTCAAACAACACTTGAATTAAATGATAGGAAAAACTGTAAATCATTTGTTTATTCATCCATTGCTGCCATCAATGATTCTTTTAAAAGACTCTCTCTATTCTCCAAAACAGCTTTTCAAGGGAACGGTAGCCCAAAAAAGAGTGCACAACGCCGTGTGTTAGCACAGCTTATCCCCACTTAATGCCATCCCTTTCCCCCTCCCGTTCCCCTTCTCTTTCATAGCAAGGCTTTGACTCACAGAAAGTTTCTCTAATTGTGTTTCAAATGACAATCGTTTTGATGAATTCGTGATAAAATGCACGGAATTTACATTTGAAATGCAATCCCAACGAGAAATATGATGACCTGGATCAATATTGGAGGACAAACGGGTAATCAGTGTTATTATTGGCACAAAACTGCAAACGCTGGCGAAAAACGTGTGAAAAACCTGTGGAAAAAACTTTATCGCAATGTAAATGAGTTTAAAATAAACTTTTTTAGTCAACTGTTAATTAAATAAATATTTTTAATGATAAGCGAAATAAAGCGATAATTAAATGAAAAAAAACGATAAACCATTAGAACATTAATTACTTTATTGATTGCTTATCGCAAAAGGACCCAAAACGCCCACCACTGGCTTAACATTGCAAACCCACGCTGCGCTGCACCGGACATTCGGGCCCTTATCACCACACACTACCTGTACATTGCACTACACTAGTGTAAGCCCGCACTCCGGTGGGGAACGGGTGGCCATCTGGTGGACGTCGACTGCAACCACCAGTTGTGGGTCGAGAGCAGTGCGCAGTCGCAGTCGCGCCATCTTTTAGTGATGTCCGTCGCAGTGAAGTGAAGCGAAAGTCAGTGGAAAACGACGACAACCCGTGGGAAGCGATGGCCGACAGAGCGACGGACGACGACTCGGAGGACGACAGACAACAGCCCCGGACGACGACCGGCGCCGATAAGTACGCCCTCCACAGAGCCGTCTTCAACAACGACCTCAAACTCATCGCTCATTTGTTACGCAATTACGACATTCAACTCAAAGACAGTCACGGTTTGTGTCCATTCCTCGGCAGTCGACGAGTCGGCGATTGGCCGCCGAAGACGGAGATGGCTATCACTCGAAGCGATTCCAGTGGTAGTCATCTGTTGGTCTCGGAAGCCGTCTATAGACTGGCTGTCGACTCGACTCCGCACTCACAGTCAATACTGACCTCCCGTTCCCCTCTTTAGGCAACTCTCCGCTGCATTTGGCGGTAATGTTGGGCCACAAGGAGTGCATCCAACTGCTGATTGCGCACTCGGCGCCCGTCAAGTGCAAGAACGCGCAGGGATGGAGTCCTTTGGCCGAAGCCATCAGTTATGGCGACCGACAGACGAGTCAGTAGTTCCCGAAGAGTCCTTTTCCGCCGTCTCTAACTTGCGTTTCCTTTCCCGCAGTCGCGTCTCTACTGCGCAAACTCAAGCGCCAGTCGCGCGAGACGATGGAGTGTCGGCGCCCTAACCTCATCCGCGCGCTCAACACAATGCAGAACTTCAAAATGCAACTCAAATGGGATTTCCAGTCGTGGGGTAAGCCTTGCTCTTAGCTATCGTCATGACAGCTAACCCCTATCCCCCTCCCCCTCCCCCCAGTGCCGCTCGTGTCGCGCATCCTGCCGTCGGACATCTGTCGCATCCACAAGAAGGGCTCTTCGATCCGATTGGACACGACTTT